CTGCCTTTCATCGGAGGATTACGTGCATGAACACCATTTAACCCTCCCTGCGTCTCACAAGTGCTCCCAGCAGAGAGAGAGAGAGAGGGAGAGATGGAGAGAGGGAGAGAGAGAGAGAGGGAGAGAGGGAGAGAGAGAGAGAGAGAGCGAGAGAGAGAGAGAGAGAGAGAGCGAGAGCAGGGGGAGGAAAGAAGCCAAGGAGAGCAGGACATTGAGGCCAGCCCCAGGTCCTGTGCCCTGGGATGGGGGCCCTGCCTCAAGTGGGCAAGGCCTCTGGGAGGCAGCCAACAGGGAAGGAGAGTGGGGATGGGAAGGGAGAGAGAGGCCTTAAAACCTGACGCACAGAGTCGAACCCCCGCCGGCTCTGTCTCTACCCCACATGGCTCTCTCCCCTGACGGCTCCCCTCCCTGCCCACGAGAGACGCCCCAATGTTCACTTTCTGCTGCTTATTCCGGGTGAAAACGGTGAGGACTTCTAGAAGGTGAAACCCAAGAGATGGGCCCCAGGACCCCCGGACCTGGTCTGGGACATGCAACCCCCATTCGCTGTCATTAACAGGAGACACTGACGCTCCTTTTAGCATCCGTCAGTGGTGACATTCTTTCCCCAACAACCACCGCTCACAAGGGCGCCCAGCCTGGGAGTTCCATGGGTTTCTCTCGGGGAGGGCACCAGACCCAGGCCCCGGGGCCTTCAAAGCCCACAGCCTCCAACGTGAACCCCAACTCCCGCCTCTACTGTGAGCTGCTAAGAATAGCCACCTGGCCACCAACCATGGAACGCTGATTATGGGCTTTATATATTTTTACTGGCTTCTTTATTATTCTTTTTTCTTTTATTGAAAAAAGAAAGGATTGGTGAAGAGGAAACAATCCATCACCTTAATTACACCCCTTCCACCCCACCCCCTCTTCTTTACACACAGATTTTCATTTGTTAAGGCTCAAATTCTAGAAAAAGATACACGACGGTAGTATGTTTATAGCCAGGCTTAAAACAGGAAAGAGAGAAAAGAAAAAAATAGCGCACGCCCAGCTACATTGTTTAAAACGTGACTCATAACAACAGCAAAAAACTCTTTCTGAAAACCACGTGACAACTCGGCTTGTTCCTTCTCTCTCCTCGTCCCTTCCCCACACGTTCCTCTCTCCCCATGGCGTGTCCCTCCTCATTACTGACTCACCCCCTGTAGCACAATGACGGGGTACACACTAAGCAGGAAGCACTGGGCGACGTATAGGAAAAGAACATGTTTCCTGGCAAGAAACGAGTAAGAGGTGGAAAATGAAAACAGACTTCAAAATAGGAAAGATCAAGAGTAGCTAATAAGCCCCGGTCCAGAGGCCACTTTTACTGCATTTCCTTCAAGATTTACCTAGTACATTGGTCTCCCCTGTAAGGAATGAGAATGCTGCCGTCTCATGGTTAATTTATAATGGAAAAGAAGAACAACTCACATTCGAGAACACCTACTGACAATGTAAATGCCTGCTGTTAGCGGTGCTTTAGCATCCACTTTCTGTATCCTGCCTGCCCAAACCCGGTTTCTCTCTCTCGGTGCAAAGGCTGTTTTATCCCCAGGCACCTGTGCCCCCAGCAGGTCTGTCCCTGCCTGGACCAGGAGAGGAGCCGAATGCTGGTCACTAGGTTCCACGGGGCAAACGGCCCTCTCTCCACTCCCAAAGGGAAAGCTTTGCTAGAATCCAGAGTTGCCTACTGAGGTCCCCTGGGCCTCAGCCCCAAAGAAGGCTCTGGCCCTGGGTTCACTGGCTACCAGTTCGGAGCTCCGGGTCCAACTTGTCCACGGGATTGTCACTACCCATTCTCCATTCTGGGCCTGCTCTCGGCCAGAGGAATAGAGTCTCTGCTCCCCGAGGCTTGGTTTCTTCCCTCCAAGGATGCTCTTTATCTCCCCAGACCGCAGCCAGGGGCCAACCCAAGCCACCCGTGTCTGCCTTTGCTCAACCCCTAAACCAGCCCGTCGGGAGCGCTGGAAATGCTTACCTTCAAGTCACTAAGATCTGTGTTTATTTTGGCTAAATGAGTG